TACTTTTTTCTCTCCACCACCAACCAGAAGCATTGTCACAGTTTCCCGGTCTCCTGCAGGGTTGATTTGAGCCGGCAGCATCTGAGGTGTGGTCTTAGTGGACCGTTTTGCTGTGATCACGGTAGGCAGTGGGAGGTTAATCCCAGGAGAATTCAGGCTCAATCTTCCCCCGCCTCCAGCTTTTACCCAAGGCTCTCACATCTCCTGCTGCATAATGACCCGGCAGAGTCCTGTGGTACCTGAAGAGATTTCATTCCTGCCTCAGATTCTGTGATTGTTATGACATTTAGCTATTAGGAAGCAGATCTCTAGCCTTTCTTGGAACATGTAAATTAAATATAAGATGTACAGTAAAGTAAACACAGGCACTAGATGTCCTATCTCTTGGAAAAAAGTACTTAAAAAAAAAGTATTTAAACCAATTCACTCTTTTTCCCAGTTTTTCATATTGTTTTTTTATCATTTCAAATGATACATAGAATTGTTAGTGAGCACTTGTGAACAAACACCACCAGGAATTTTGTTATGTTGAAAGTTTAAAAGAAATACAATTTTCTCTTTAGAAGTATTTAAAATACAAAAGTAATAAAAATAACTGAACGTCAGTATTTCTGCATATGTAGTTCCCATGTGTCTATATGACTAAGCGTGTGTTTATATGTATGTGGGAGAACTGCAAACTTAGCAACAAAAGGTTATTAACCAAAACCTAAAGCAGTGTTCAGGGTCCACCAGAGCAATTAAAACAGGCAGAGGGGTTAAAAATGTTCTGTCTAAGAAAAAAATATTGATTCCCATAACTTTGCTGCAATCTTTTACACCAAACATGGATGAAGAGACAGTGAAGAGGAACAATTCCATTTTAACAGAGGGCAAAAGCTCCAGCACCAGGCTCGGTTGGAACAGCCTTATGTGGCAGCCCAATGGGGGCCAAAACACAAAAGAAACACAGAAGAAAGCTTAACCAATAGTTATGTCTAGGAGAGAAACAGGGCCAACTATATAATCTATATTTGATGTTGATTGCGGCAGCCCAGTTACTTCCTGGATAGAGTCACAGCTTTACAGGCCAGATGTAGCTCCTATGACAAGAAAATGCATTTAGTTAAATGGTAAAAGAACAAAAAATGAAACATTTGATAAAAGAAGTATAATGAAGTAGAGAGAAAAAGTCAACCCCAGATCTTCCAGCAGCCTAAAACTATAGCAGCATAACAACAGATCATTTTGGATAACTTAAACCACTCGAACTATAAACTTTCAAATTAGAAAGTTTTAAAGCTGCATTAATCATTCTGTTAAACTATGGTTGAAAAGCAATGTCTGACCTTCATCTGTTCATTTTGATAGATTCCTTTATGTATTACAAATTTCGTCCACATCTATTTGTCCACATGTGTATAGATAGATAGATAGATAGATAGATAGATAGATAGATAGATAGAAATACATGATATACATTTTCCTGCTGCTTTGAGAGTAATACACTATAGCTGTGGGGTTCTTGACATGCAGAGGGCAGTCACTGTTTACAACAAAGCTATTTGAAAAAGTCCTATAGGAGGTGCAGTACTTGTTTTTAGTGCTGCTATAACCCTAGTCTTAAAAATAGACATGGCCTTTTGGGTTAAGAATGGAAGTTGGTTCTAACAGGAACCATGATAACTTAAAGATCTGCTTACTATTACACTTTTAGAAATTCTAGGAACTACTAGTAAACACAGTTTGGGAACAAAGTGCTCTTTTAGGAACACAAGGAACAACTCAATCAGGAAACCAGTGAAGAAAAGCTAAAATAGAAACGCATTCTCTCTTTCTTTATTTTCATCAGAGCTGTAGCTTTTTGGATCAGCTGAAGGCTTTTCACTGCACTTGGTGAACTTTCTAATAGTAAAGGCTTGCAATAATTGAGCCTTGGAGTAACAAATGACCTAATTTGTTTTTTCAGCGTCAAGCCTTATTGATGTTTCCAATTTATTGACTTATTTTTGTAAAAATGTTAAAAAAGGAATGCGAAAGTGGTTAAGTTGATGGGAGGATGGATTAAGAAAAAATGTTTGGTAATTCTGCAAAAGAAAAACCTGATTGAAAGCTAAAAAACTTTAAGAACAGCTCTGAGGTTAACCTTAGAGCAGGAAAAAAAAAGGCTAAACATACTGGCACTCATGTGCTTATCATTAGTAAAAAAATAACAAGTGCAACAGTGTCTTCACAGGTCTGCCTATAAGACAGCTGCAGCACATCCAGAATCTTGCTTCCCCATTCTATCTAAAACTAAGAAACTAATAGAAATCTTAGGATTAAATAGTTTAATTTAACATAAAATGGTAACATCATTAGTTTTAGTATGTCATTTAGTCTTTACTGTCTGGTATTATGCAGCTGCGGAGAACTTTGGTTTTGCTTATGTAAAGCACTTTTAATTGTCTAGTTCCTGAAATGTGCAAACATGCTTCGCCTGTTGTAGCATAGTAGAGTCAAAGGTCGAACCTAAATCCAAGTAAAAGTGTTGGACTGGTTCAGCAAAGTGTCCGTTCAGCAGAGGTTAATTATAACTGTAAAAACTCTCCTAATAAAGTAAGACAGCAGAACAAGGTCCAAATTTGAAAAGAAATTGTCTGCCTTCCAAGATAGTGTTATGATATACATTTAGTTTGCACAAGCCCTGATAAATTATTTCAGATGGCAGAGTATGCATCTGTTTTTCCCTGGAGTCTTTCACACATATCTGTGTGTAATTAATGTGAATTTTGACAGATGGGCGGAAAAAAATGTCCACATAAGAGAGAAGGGTACATGCCACAATGTGTGAAGTGCAAGCTTGATGGGAGCTTCTTGTATTATTTTCGCTGTCCATGCCAGCTGGACTAGCAGCTAGAGAAATGTTACAGGTAGAAATGCAAGCTTTAAATATATGCAGAAATCATTTAAATTCAACGACCGCCATAAATAGGCTGGCACATTTTAATTTTTTTTCCCTTGCTACAGTTTGAAATTAATGTGGAACACTCTTAATATTGTACTAAATTTAGCATCACAAAAAAACCTGAACCTGTCCCATATCAAGGGTGCGCATGCAAAGTAATTTTCGTGAAATAACCAAGAAAGTGCGATTTCGCTCAATAGTAATTGTGACTGGAGGTCATTTCTAATTTAAATGCTTAATTTGCCTTTTAGGCTGCATGTGCGTCTGCTGTTGTTTGAAAGCATGCTATTTCTGAAGGCACCGGGGTCTGACTTAGATATTAGTATAACTACATTATCACACTTTTTTTTATGCCTGGTAGCGAACATATAAAAATGAGGATTACAACTCTGGAGAAGGCAACAGGTCATGGTTGGTAAGCTGCCCGGGGGGGTCACTGATATAGAGTCACTTTTGACAGGCTGTGGAGGAGGCTCTATTGTTACTGGTGTGTCTGGATGCTACCTGCAGGCACTATAGCTGAGACTACAGTATTATCCTATTATTAGGCTTAGTTGTTTACGCATATTACTGCTTGTCAGGTAGGCAGAGAATCCTTCTGAAAATGAGCATCTGCAGAAAAATACATGACTACTTCTTTATCTCATTCGAGTACATCGGCTTAGGATAATTTTCTGAGGCCTGCAAGAATGTCTTCACAGGACAAAACAAACAGAAATTTAAGATTTATGTTTACAGGAAAGCATTTGATCCTTTGAGAATCTTTTACCGTGCCGCCAACAGTGTTATTTGGCAGTCGGCGATAGAACGTAAGAAAAGCTGCACCTGTTTTTTTATGTTTTCAGGCTGATATCATTATGGTCTTTGCTTCAATTGAAAGTGGATATACTGTAAGAGGACACTGTGTCGCTGTTTGTAGAGGAAGTGAACAAAATAAAAAAAGCCCATCATATGGTCTGGCAGATTTTGGGCACCAAACCAGGGATGACAAATGTGCTCTTGCAATAATTCAATCTGCTCTCATAATTCTCTAACTTTTAGGGACAGACAGAATGAAGATTTTTTTTTCCCTTTCTGGCAATAAAGCTGCCAAATCATCGTCCAATAACTGTGATCAAGTGTTAGTTAAGATGCTTTTTCTCTCCATTGACAGATTGAGGGGTATAAAGATACTTGATAAATGGCAGAAAGTTACTGTGAATATGTTAACGAGACGGTTCTGGTGTTAGGTCCAAAACGTTGTCATTTTGTTTATGTCACAGGAAGGATATTAAGTTTAAGTAATGACAGAAGGGATGGAGCTTGTTTGAGAAAAGAATAAAAAGATCCACTGCAGTATTTCTCTTTCTTTTTTTATTTTGATAACTGGTAGCCTTGGTAGTTACATTTGAAAATCACTGGGAAAAAAGTTCTAAATCTTACATTTTAGAGAAATTTACCAAACTTGATTTTCCTGGGTGATATGCAAGAAATGTAGATAGTTTTCTATGAGAAAGAACAAGAAAATGCAGCAAGTTCTTTGATAGAGTTAGTAGTTTTAATTCAACATAAAATAAAGCAATAAGAATTTCCCCATTTGTGCATCAAAGCAGTTTCTTCACAACCTTTTTTATCTATTACGAAACTCAAAAAGTGCATTGAAGTGCTGCTGGTTGGTTCATGTTTTTATTGACTGAGCATGTTGGATGTTCTTAGTTTTAATGTATTTTATGAATCTGCGTACCAAATGAGAGCAGATCAAGATTTTAAAAAGCCACTTTTAATCTGTGATTAATTTGAAGACACAAAATCAATATCATAAACAGCAGGTAAAACAATAACATCATATAATTCACGGCATCTGTTGAGGGATGGGGCTGAAATGGTTGTTAAGCTTTTGCCAACATTATACTTGAACGGCACATCTTAAAAAGCTAAAGGGGTCAAGTGAAGCACCTAGAAAAGCTGTGTTTAAAACCAATAAAAATATTTTTTATATTTATATACATTATATTAATAATGTATGTAAGTGTGTTTTAAAAAATAGAAACTGTGACAAATGTAAAAAGTTGCATTTATTTCTTTTTGCATGCAGAAAAGGATGTACGTCCTGGTGATGGTTGATCCTGATGTTCCAAGACGATCTGCGCACCCTGCTTACTGGAGGCACTGGTTGGTTGTGAACATTAAGGTACAGTTAGTCTCCAAAAACTTCTGCTCCTTCACCTCATCAGTTTTGGCGATGGTTTTACAGGCAGTTCTCCTTATTGGATTAGAAAGTCATACTGTATGATATAAAATTTAAAAAGTTGTGTTTGGTAGCTTTTTTAAGTGTGCATTTTCATAATCTCGTGGTCTCACTTGGCATGTGAGGTGTTTACATCTGCACCAGGACCGATCGTGAAGCTGAAAAATTATGAATGGTTTTTTAAAGCCGAACTTGGTTGAAAAAAAACGGTGCCAAGTTTGAAAATGTTAATTTTTCATATCATGTATCTTGTGCAATAAATGCCTGCGACAAAAGTGTGGGAGTAAGTCTTTCTAAATGGCTGTGAAAGTTTGCAAGGCCCTGTCAGCAGCAATTTCCCTCTGCTGCGCAGTGCCTGGGACGTGTCAATGTGAGCGTGTGAGACTGAGATTGGGGAGAGCAGCATGCGAGGCACACACTTTTCCTCCCATAGTGCTCCAGTCCCTCAGCTCCCCCTTCAGTGGAGAGATCTTGGCAGAGTGTCCTCCCTTCATCTGTTCCCCCAGGCAGAGCAGCTCCCCCAATGATCCACACTTCTCCATATTTTACACCCCCAAAATGGGCACAGCTCCGATCCCCTTATTTCTCTTCATATTTCACTCCTTTTTATCCATTCGCTTGTGTGTTTTCGCATTCTTGCATTCTAACGCCAAATGCATGTTGAGTTGTTGATTGCCTCAAATATTTTGAGGTTTGCAGACATTTTTTATAATCCCTTGAGAACTGGGAGATCAACCCAGTAGATACTAGTAGCCTGAAAAGCAAGATCACAAAGCCGCTTCAGAGATGTGTCATTGCTGCCTTTTCATTTTTTTTAAAGACTTGATTTTTAAAATAAAAGAGCACCGAATCCATTTAAAGATCCAAACTTTTGTTCTGTAAAAAAAATGCTCTTGGGACATAATTCATTCACCTATATTTCTCTTTGCTAGATAAATATTAGATACCCTCCTTGTTTACTTTTCTTATTAACAGATGTACACGGTCAATAATAACCCACCTGGATAATGAAATATGGATTCTTATTACAGTATCTCTCAAAATACAAAGATTTTTAAAAAGCTATCTGGAGGAAAATATACTTATGACCTTGCTTTATGTGTTTTTTAAAGGGAGAGTCCTTGAATGGGTTTGTAAAAGTAAACCTCATGGTGCATAAGCACCTTTTTATAGGTCATTACTCATATTTTCATTACATTATAAGACGCATGGCTTTTTTGTCCTCTCTGTCTGACATTAAGTCCGTATTATCCTTTTAGATGAGGTAGAATTCTCATATTTTTTGCTAAATACCTAAAACAACTGTAGAGGTTTTTTTTTTTTTTGGCTTTCTTCAAATTAAGATGTTAATTTCTCCAGTATTGGCTGGTAGAATTGATTTGGTTCAAACTATTTATGCTTTTAAAGCTTCTCACAATATCCTGCTGGAATTTTTTTAGCTCTTTCGTCTTGACTTAACTGGTGCCACATATTCTGGATTGCAGGCCTTCATACACACACCTTCTCAGCTCTCTGGGGTCATTTCCATCTGGAAACCCATTTAAGCCTGTGTTTTAACTTTCCATCTGATGTTTGTTCAATGTTTTCCCATATTTCCTTTTCACTTGCAAGGACCATGCTACAGAGATTGTTGAAGGTTAAAGGATGGATGAACAGGAAGTGATCTATGGGTGACTTGGAGGTGTGGTTGAGGCGTTGGCCTTCTTCGATACATAAGTTAATATATTAGCTTCATTTCTAATTATGTAGATAGTGATCAGTTGCATATTGCCTCTTGTGATGTCATCAGAGCCAGCTGCAAATGGTAGATTATTTTTATAAGACTAGATTTTAATGGAGCTGAATAACATTTTACAAGTAAAAGCGGAAACATTGCATGTTGTTTATTTAATAAACTATAGAGTCGTTGAATAATTTAGAATATTATCAAAACATTAAATTATTTAAGTGAGCTGAAAATGTGTCAATTAAGTTATGGTGTAAGGCGTCAGAGTAAAACTGATTTATGTTAATTAAACAAACTGATTATTTTTAAAGCCTTTATTTCAGTTCATTATTATGTTTCCTGCTTAAAGCGAATGAAAAAGGATTAATAAAAAAATTTTTGATATATAAAGTATTTTTAATACCAGTTTATAGCAACAATGTGTAACCCTGAAGCACCCTGATAAAACTGCACTGCACTTCTTAACCTGCTGTTTAGACCAACAGATTGAGAAGTCATGGTGTAACTTTAAGGCCATATTTACCCCTATAGATTAAATCTTATAATATAGAACCAAAAAATATGGGCCATCAGTTTGTCTTTTAGCTTAGCTGTGTTAAGCTCTTGTGTTTAAGGCAAGCTCAGACTGCCGTTAAGTGGTGCTCGAGGTCACATGACTCATTCGGTGTCGGACTCGATTTCGATTTTTTTTTCATAGCTAAGTATTTTTGTACAGAGCATCAATATTTCCTAAGTGATTTACTGTTTACAGACATGATAATTAATTAGAGGTGTCTCAAAATAATAATAATACTTGACATCAAAAGTTACAGTGTTGATTTAAATGTTATT